GAAAAGTTTTCACTCAATTAGTTTCCTTTTGCATGTTTACCAAATCACTGTCTTGCAAAGGTATTCCTACTCCTTACCGCTACAAACTTCATTGTACTTCCCTGAGATTTTGTGGTAGACCAATGCAAAATTAGAATGAAAGAAATAAAAGTAAAAAAGGAATGCATGGTTTTCAATTTTTGTACAAATAAAAATATGTCTGAAAACTACAGTAATTACCGTATTCAATTATTGTTGTGGCAACAGCATGCTGTGGGGATGGAACACTGCGAACCTTTTAGGTTTGGGCTTATATGCAAAACATTGTATGAAGAAGAAAACTAACTCTGCACGTCACTCCAAACACTCCATTCCAATAATCCATGGTGGTGGCAGCATCATGCTGCAGGGAGGTTTTTCCTTCCACAGGGAGAATGAAGCTGATCGGAGTTGATGGCTGAAGCTTACTACAAGGAAATTTTGGAAAAAAATAAATTTAATTTGGCATTATTTCTCTTGCATTTGAAAATTATCCACCACTTTGTTTTGAACTATTACACCAAACTGCAATAAATGACATTGAGAGTTATGTGACCAAATGTCAAAGTATATTAAAACTTCAACTGGATGTTGTGTACTAATTTTTATATTTGAAATAGCAATGTTGTAGTCGTGTTGTTCAAACAAATTTATGTTCTTTCGTTGTCTGTAACAGGATCTGTCTGCTGTCTTTGGATGACTTTAGTTTGCCACCTCTGTCCTCTGAGCTGAGCTGCTCTATTGTCCCAACTGTAAAAATTCATTTTAAACAAACACCCACTCTGACAAAGTCAGCAGCCAACTGGAGGATTTTACCTCAGGAGAAAGCCAGTTTTTTTTTTCTTTTTGTCTCATTTTTCTTTGCCTTTATTTGGGATATTTTATAGCTCCATGTAACCTGATTCCACCACATGGGTATTCACTGAGCGTTTGAAACCAAAACGCAATGGGACAGAGAAAGAACAGAGTCCTGCTTTGGTCCTTACATGTATGTGTGTGTTTGACTTTAATATGTGTGTTTGAATTAAAGTGTGCAAAAGAGAAAATAGGCCAGATGTTTTTGGTTTGATTGCACCCTCTGCAGCAGTTATCTGAGTGTTGACATGACTAAAAGCCTCATTCAAAGTGTTTATGTGGAATGGGTGGATTAGGGAATGAGCGTCCAGAGCTGTAGATCTTGTTTTAAGATATGGCAGAAATAAAATGTAACATTTCTTTGCTCTTTTTCCTCTTTCTCCTGTTTTTCAAACTTCTATCATCCTGTCCAAATGAACAGACTCCCTGTTTGACATTGTCCAGCAGTGCCAGATTCAGCGCCACGCCGTTGTGTGGACAACACCAGAATGAACACCCTCCTGCCCGCCTGCCTGCCTGTCCCTCAGCCCGTCAGACCAGCAGGGTGCCAACCCAGGAAGCAGTCCAGATGGCCGAGTCATCACAAATCAACAACGTGGAAGAACACACAACTCAGTCACACGTTTTTTTTTTTTCCTCTTTGGACCAAAAAGTATCACTGGGTTGTGTGTCGTATTGAGCTGACTGAGAGTTTGAAAGGGAGGTCCTCAGATCCTCGTCCTGTCTGACATTGCCCTCAAGCGTTTATATACGCACAAGTTAGTGTGGCTGCCCAGATGCGCTCCTCCTCCTCGCCTTCCTCCACTCAGCAGACAGCGCTCTGATCAGCCTTGTGTGGTCTTCTCAGATGGAGCCTGAACATGATCTCTTTCCAGGGGAAACGGTTTGTTTTCTCTGCCCGGCTTGCACAAAGAGCCACATTGTTTCTCTCCTCATATCCCACGCTAACTCCCCACTCCAGGTTTTGAGTTACCTGGCCGATCGGGGCTCAAACTTCAGGAGCAGGGTTTTTCTTCCTCTTTTTATTTTTTTGAGCAAAAGCCAGGAATATAGTATAGCCTTTTCTATTCCGCCTATCCGCCCAACATAAATACAAGACATGCTACACTCACTCGGTTCTGAGATTTTATCCTCTTGCAAGTGATTGCCTGAGATTTGCCAGCCTTCTCACTTCTTCTGAGAAAGGAGAGAAATCTAGTGAGATGAATACTTTATCTGCAGGCAAGTTTCTCCAAGTGTTGGGAGAGTCAGGCTAAGGATTTCCCGAGGAAAGCTAAACTACAAAAGTATATGAGGATGCTCTCACCAGTGCACTGTGGCTTTGGTAATCTAAGGTTCCTGATTGTTTAGACAAAGACGGTACACACTGGTCACTATTTCCTCTTCTGATCTACAAAATCAGAACGACTTATAGCATTGGGTGCCATGCATGCTTGTGGCCTCCTGACAGGGTATTTGATTTCAATATTTTTGCTCTTTTCTGACAATTCTGTAAAGAAAAATCAGCTTTGTAATATTACCAGATGAGGTATTACACTCGAAAGCATCAAATGCTGTAGCAAACAGTGATCAGTATTACAGTTGCCACAGTTGAGGACTCATGCGTTCAGACAGATAGCTTTGAGGCTTGTCAACACTTCATTTTTGCAATTTAAAGGTACAATTTGATGTTATATTAACTTATGGAAGAAGCATAGGTAAAGTTTCATTCAATGCATTTTTTTCTGTTGTATTTTTATTTGAATATATTTTGTGAGTGCCGAAACAATTTTGTGCCCTTTCACGTTATTATTATGATAAATGCCCACTAGAGGGCAGTGTTTGCCTTTTTTAAACTTTGCACCTGAGTACACATGAAAACTAGAATGCAGCTGGCATAAAGTCATTAGTTACAAAATTTACTCATTGCTATTTTATATCAGATGCCAAACACAGACATTTTGCTATTATTTTCTCTTTGTACTGCCATCAAGGTTATCTTTATTCATAATATGCATTGGACAATTCACTCTCTTTGAGCACAGACCTGGTGTACTTTCTTATGCTCGCATGTGATTGAATGTAAAATAACCCCATTTTGCTGCAACTGCTGCTGTAAGTCTCTACCAGTTTTGCACTTGTGGAAATTGACATTATTGCCAAGTGTCAATTGCAAAAAGTGGAAGGAATACATTAAATTAATTTGCAAGTAAAATATGGTTAAAAAAAATACAATTCCCCTTACTTTGAATTCACCATTCATTCAGTGAAACATAGTGGTGGAAGGGTCATGGTGTGGGGATTCTTTCTGAAGCAGAGCTAACCAAGCTGATTGCATCATTGGCAGAAGAACACCTTACAGCTGAAAAAAATACAAATAAAAAAATGGAGGCTGAGGTGACAGTTTGTCCCAAAGACTTTTTGAGCTTCGATTCTAAAATTCAGTGTGCTTACTTATGCGATTGCAGCACTTTTCTTTTGTTCTGTTAATTCAAGGTCACCTATATTCTGCAGGTCATGACATAACGGTGGATTCATCCTCAGCCAGTAAGGAAGCTTTGTCAACAACCTCTGTGAGTCAGTGGTGACATCTCTCCTGAAAACAGCTCCACTGTCAACAACAGCCAAATTATTTACAATCACAATTGTCATTATTCATTTACTTCTTTTGATTAATTATTGGAATTTGACAAGAAAACAAAGGTTTGTTGCTTTTGTAGCCTGGCCAATAGATACTGTCTGACCTCCACTTGACACACATTTAGCCTTCAGTCTGGAATGAAACTGTCAGATTGTTTGTATTAAATAAATATTATATATCCAAGATCCTTGATTGAGATCTCTTTGTAAAATAAAAATAAATAAATGTTATTCTATGAGCAAAGACACGTTCATGGTATGGTGTTTTTCTTCTCTACCTTTTTTTCTTTTCTTTACAATATATATTATTTTCAATTCTGGTCCCATTTGAAGTTCTACAATTTACATCATAAAATCATCAAACACATAAATAACTATATTGTGACAGTGACGCACCATGGACCCTGTAAACATCTATTCTTAGTGCCAACGTGTCTGAAAGGCAGCGACTCAACATTCCTAAAATACTGAAAGCTGCTCCAGCCTATGTGCTGTGGCGGTAAAACCGACGAATGAGATCAGACAGCAGGAATCTCAGCTAATTTCAGTCGCCACAAAAACAAAAAAAAAAGTTTTTTCTCATTATTATCATCAACATTATAGAGAGACAAGTGATTGATCGACATGCTGTTTGTCAGGTGTGAAGTCAAAAAGTTAAAAGCAAGGAATACTGAACTTGTTAAAGGAAGTCGACATGTGCGAAGAGTCATTTGCAGCAAGTTACCAATCCCCTCTACGGGAACCGGATGTAAAGAAATTTTTCAAAAATAAAAGCATTTTGTTTTTCAAAATGTATTTATTTATCCAGCATTGTCTGCACCCTCATCTTCTTCTAGGGCCGCTAGGAGGAATGAGGGATCAGGGTTCACCTGGACAGATCACCAGTCCATCCAAGGGCAACAAAGAGAGAGGGGACAGATAGCTATGCATTTACAGAAATGGGCACTTTAGACTAATATTTGTTGTTCAGACTAATCGTTTAATCTGATGGTTGATCTGACTCAACGAAGAAGCCAGTGTACCCAACAAGAACACCCAGCAAAGACATATTTTTGACATGAATGGAATCCCATAAAACTCCATGCAAAAAGACTCAATCTGAGATTAAAACCAACCACCCTTTATGATGCAAGTAACATATTAAAAACACCACACATGTTAAGTTGTTTTAGTATCTAATCAATAAGGATATTTCAATTTTTGTCAGTCAGTTTTTATTTAAATAGCACTTTCATGTCCAAAATATTTAGCCCTCTGCAGTGACTTCTTGAACTCAAAGATTGTCAATATTGCTTCGGAAAAAAATTAAGATATTTATATAAATAGCAGCACACAGTTGGCCAATACAAACACTTAGTATATTCCTTTCTTTCTTGTTTTCTTTTATTTTGGTAAACAATCCTTAACCGGAAGTTGTTCGGTTGTGTTAACCGTTGGTGACAGTGTCACACAGGTTGGACCCCCCTGCGGGGTTGTGTGATTTCAATGCAACTACCTGGTTTGTGACGCTGACGGGGCGCATCTGTGACTAAAGATCCCGTCTCTGAACGTCGAGACATAGGGATATTCTCGCTCTCTCTTTTTTTTAGTCGCTTAATGTTTTATTAATGAGAGAGAGAAAAAAAGTCGGGAGGTTTTATTTTCTGTGGATGAATAATTAACCTGACAACTCAAGCCCTCGTGCACAGAGGAGCAATGACATGAGAAGCTGAGCCACGGATCGGCGCTCGCCTCCACCACCGGTAGAGAAAACATATATAATATATATATAAACTGCAGGTGTTTTGTTTTAGTTCGTCTTTTAGCTTTTTTTCGGCATTTGAACTGGACGTAGTGGACTGTGACCATGCTGGGAGCGGAGAGCAGAGTGGAGAGCCGGCTGAAGAAGCTGGAGTCCATGGTGAAGAATCCACTGTCGTCGCTTAACTTATCAACGTTACTGGTGAGTGAGTAACATGCCCTGGGGGCCCCACGCAGGTACGGGCATGAGACGGATCGAGCTGCGGGCATACTTTAGCACAATTATCTTTCCATAAAAGAGAGATCACAGCCGAAGTAAACACACGCGGAAAAGCACAGGATTAGAATAAAAAATATATTTTACATTACAACTTAATGCGTTTTACTGAACTGGCTTAACATCAAACTGGGGTGAAGAAAGAGGCAGAAGGAGCCCCACCTATTAATGTTCAGCCGCTTTTCCTGCGTGGAATGCAAAACTCCCATGTTTACACACTACAGCAGAACTATATGAGTGTAAAGAGGATCAGATGTGATTGACTTCATCAGCGGACGAGAGACTAACTGAAACTGAAAGTCATTTAAAAAGTAGGCGGCTGAGAGCAACTCAATCTATTTGGATTATTTTTCTAAATAGTGAACATGTATTTAGATAGTAAACTAGCTGTTGTACCTTAACTGATTTTGCGTACCACCCCAAATCCTGAAACTCTACTCTACCATGATTGATAGGCTTGATCAACATGTCCTCTGCACTTCAGCTTATCAGAACCACAATTTACCAAGGAAATACAACTGGATACCAAAAAAAGAAAGAAAAAGTTATTTTAGTTATTCAGTTGCTCAGGGAAAGGTTGAGCATCCATCTGTAAGTGAGCTTTGGAACATTTCAAAATTGTTCCAGAAAACATCTTGTACTCCAGAGAGATCAGGGATAAGATTCAGGCAGGGCTGCACTATGAATCAATATTAGGGGGGAAAAAAAGGTGTTTTGATATATATGATAAATTATTCTGCCAGTCAGCTATTATTTGCTAATTTGTGCTGGTCTGTAGCATACAATGTGAATAAAATACAATTAGGCATGTAGTTAGGCATGACAAATGTATCAGCGGTCTGTATTTGTGGAACAATCATCAGTAGGAAAACATGACTGATAAATAAGGTTTAAGTTTAAGGAGAATTTGTGACCACTCTGCTTGTTAAATGACAGAATTGTGTCTATTCTTGGGCTTGATGAGTCACAAGTAAAGTCCTCAGTACAGGGCAGTAATACTTGATAAATCCAGCTGGCCTCACATTGCTGCGTAAACAGACAACAAATGATGTTTGGGTATGTCCACCTCTGTGTGGTCATTCTTCAAAATGTTGTATTTTTTATATGTCTATTCGGCACTGACTCCCCTTGTTTAAACAGTTCTGAGTTGACGTAACAATAGCCACCGTGCTTCCCGATGCTGGGGAAAAACGGGCAGGAAGCTGGAGTCGTTTCCTGGAATTGAGTCAGATAATTAGTTATGACCTCACCTCACCGTTTCCTGTTGGTCTGATATTTGTTTTTGTTTTGGCAATATAACATAAGATTAACAGTATCGCATAAATATGTAGAAAGTTTTTCAACCCTTTTCTTTTTAGAATCTGTTTTGGTTATATTGAAGGGGTTATTAATCAATGGGACAATAACTAACAATTTACTGAACTACAAATCCATTCTCTCTAATGAGAAACTCCAGCTTGTTCTGGGGATCACAAGGCAGATGGGATATATTGTTCCTCTGGGTGAAAGAGAACAAGAGTCTGGGACTCCCTCCTGAACCTGCCCTCACAACCCGATTTCAGATAAAATTAAGACAATGCATGTATGGGGCTACAAATCCTGTTCAGAAATGTTTCATTTATTAATGATGGCCTCTTTCTTAAATTCAAAGACAAAGGAGTGTTTGTTTGAAAGATCAGCAGTTATTTGGGGAATTAGTCATGTAATTTGAATAGAAAAGAGAAACACCTTTTCATTAAAGTGACTTATCTCCTAAGGTTACATAAATGAAGCGCCATGTTATGATTACGTGAAATGTTTTACAATGTATGCTTAAGATTAGTGGCTCGTGGAGTGGTTAATAGGTGGCTTATGTCTTTAACTAAGAGAAACCAATATTGACATATTGCTTATAACATTTAATTTCCTCTTTTCAACCATTTGTCTGTGTGCCTATAGTGTTCATGATAAGTAAAACACAGCTTTTATTTTTATCAGCAATATTTATGGAGTTCTAACAATTATGTTTTCAAGAAAAAAAGAATTGCTGTGTGGACATGAAATCATTTGAGTTATCCATAGTTGTTGGTTAATACAAGATGAGCCTTTTCTGTTCTGATCTTTTTCGTCAAGCCTGTTATCGAATGCATACCTGATGGTATCATTTGTCGTGCCTTATTACAAAAATACTCTACTGTGATGAGGAGACACACAGTTGGTAGCAACTGGCTCATGTTCAGATTTTTCCAAATTCCTGAGAACAAAAGAAGTCAAACTTCTTGTTTGAAAGAAGTTGAAAATTTTCACTGCTACAAATTACATTAATTCAGCAACATTGTCTTTCTTGCGAGGGTGTTTGCAACGTTAACTTCTCAGATGTTTTTACAATTGTTTTTCTAGTTGTTGATGCAAACTCTTTCGTGCCAAAGAACAAAAACGTGTATGTACAAATACAGCACAAATGCAAATAACGGGGTTAATAGTCCCTGAATTTCAGTTTCTGCTTTGTTTAAAGCTTAATGCCTTTACATGTCTCCAGGGTAGATGAAACAAAGTACTACTGTTGGAGCAAGTCTGACTCATTAATCATAGCCAATAATCCAATGGCTCTATGGAATCAACCACTTTCACCTGAACCTTAAACACCACTTTTTATTTCTCTTTTTCACTGGCAAAGATCCATGTGTCAATAATTCAAGCTCTAAATGGCGGATGTTTTTGACATTCTGAACATTTGTAATCCGTTATCCTCTTAATGTGTTAAACAGATGTTAGAGAGTTTTCCAAAGCCGCCAAATGTGCTGCATTCATTGAAAAGCCCAGATGTAGATAAAGATAAATGAAGTGGAGTTAGATACCCTAGATCTCTGTAAGAATGCAAACAAAGTTAAACAACTATCTGTCTGATATTTACAAATCCAACCAGGGTATGATCATGCATTGCACTGGCATTGAAGTACTGCAAGTTTGGGTAACAGTGTCTTGTAGGATCATGTAGTAGAAGTAGTTGTTGCATCAGACTGGGATCTGAGCTGAGCAGTCACTTCTATGCTGGGGAAAGTCATTAGCAACAATTCAGATTGAACTAAATTCATCCATGTAGAATAAAGTATTTTTATTTTAGAAACTCATTTATAAGGGGTGTCATTCGTAAGAGTTTAATGAAAGTGTGAGCTCAGTATTTATTCACAAAGAATGCTTTTCTGGAGAAGATGATACAAGAAAATAACTGCGTTTGGAACTTTATTATCACTGGAGTTAACAAAGAATAATATTAATGTGATTCAAAGGTTTTTCAGCTCTAACCACATACAGTCGACTTTATGTTTCCTCCGGTTCTATTGAACATGTTATTACATCTTTTAAGCAGACCTCACTCTCCCCTGCAGTAACACACCACAGTCATAAAAATCTGAGTAAATACCGACTGTAGAAAGTGATCACAAATCTTTAATCGCTTAGACTGAATCTGAACCTCGGTGCAGCTCATCCCACAATAGCTTCTGAGCCTTTACGTCTATTTCCATCCGCCTGCGCTGGTGGGGGGGATTTCGCCTCACCACTGCTATTTAAAGGTGCAGAATTGTTCCACCCGTGATCACCCCAACCCCCATAAGTCCTCGAACAAACACACCGATGGCTCAACTTCCCTAGACACACATATGCATGTTGGGTGACTCAACTTGACCCCTGGTTGCGGGAACCGAGGGTCACTCTGCATTCTAACCCCCACCTCCCTCACCCACCTGTCCAACTGACCTGCCAACCCCTTAGATCTAGGATCACAGAGACATTTTGGATTTACATGCAACCTGAAACCCCTAATTTGAGTTCTGATGACACCACAGAGACCCTGACTGTTAGTCAGATGCTCCCACTGACCCCCTCTGTTGAGGCACAGAAATGGTCTGTGTGTTCTGGAAGTCAGCCTTAACCTCTTGTGATTAGCCCTTCTGAAATAACTTGTCAGACGTGTTTTCTATTGATCCAGAATATATTGTACTACTGTGTTTATCACCTTTAATTTTCTCTCCCATTTAAATTTGGTTAATAAAATACTTCCCCTGGTTTTTACTGCTTTGTCCATTTCTTTGGTTCTGATATCTGTTATCAGGCAAAAGTAGGTCATCAGACAGATTAGTAAACATGAAAATGAGACATTTGGCTTTGAAACATAGTTAAGTTTTGTCTTGTTTATTTAGAACAATAAAGCCCACAAAAAGAACACCTTCTAGGGAATGGAGCAGAATGTTCAGACTTTACATAAAAGATACAAGTTTCGAGAGACTAAAGATGTTCTTTAGGAATGAATACATTTTTTTTTAAAGAATTGGCCCAGAAATATGAAAAACAAGGAAGATTGTCATTACATGATTAATATATCCAGTACTTGCCAGAAATTCCCACAGCTCCTTTATTGTTCCTATACTCCTCTTGGAAGCCTGTCATTAATCTTCAATGGAAAGCTAGTTTTTGGTAACGTTGCTGATGTGTCATATTTCCTCCATTGTGCTCCATGGTATGTTTAATGCCAGGTAAACTGGTTTGCACTCCTTCTTCTGACTGATATTTTCTGACATTGAGAGTCTTTCCATTCTTTGAAAGCATTCTTCAAATTATGTTAATCAATTAAACAAAACATATTATCATACAATGTTGTATTTGTAACACAATTATTAGCTTTTCAAACATATTTTTTAACCTTCAATAGTCAACCATTTGTAGCCAATTATTCTATAGTGTTTCAGCAATATATTGTTTGTAAATTGGTGTCTAATTTTTGTGAGATAATTCTGAGGTTGAAGAGATGAATCGATGATTTAAGAGAGTGAATATATGAATTTTCTGTGATGTATAATTTGATATACATCACAAGCTTATGTGTTCTATAAATAAATAGTGATGTAAAACATTGTAAGAGTTTCTAATTGAATTTTGAGTGTTAAAAGGCATCCAAATTTGGAAATTAAATAATTTAAATATAATATTAGCATTTGTTTTCTGTCTTAGTTGTCACTTAAAAAATAAATTGTTTTTCGTTTCGTCTTTCAGGATTCCATGAATGCCTTAGCTCATGATCTCAACTACCCAGTCCTGCGAAAGAACAAGAACATTGAGGCATTTCTGAACAGATGTAAGAGCTACTCTTTGTGTTTTTAGTGTTTTGGTGCTTTGCCCTTTTTATATTGTCTTTCCATGTTTTTCATCTTCAGTTTATTATTTAATCCCAACTAACATGTTTCAATACTACAGTGGTTGTCACGTCAAATATGCAAGACTTATATAATTGAAATAATTGTTTTTCGCTTCTTGGCCAGAGCTGTGTTTGTTGCTTTTCTCATTTTCAAAAGGGTCAAATGTGTTTTTATTTTTATTTTTTTCAGGGAGTGATAGGTTGGTGCCTCAGGCAGTCGAGTTTAGTAACAGCATTCTTTTACAATAGAGTCATGTCATGAAAATTCAGCTCTTTATTCTTCCTTGAATAATAAAGGGATTTAATGTGACACATATCATCATCATCATCATCTGGAGGCATGCATATGTTGATGTTGTCTAAACTTGTAGGTGCAAGCTACCCTGAGGGCTGGGTGGCAGTTACCAAAATATGAATTTTTCTGAAGCTGTAAAATGCCAGTTCCACTTCCTGGAAAATATTTATTTGGAAAATATGTAAAATAAAAGCTTCAGCTTTTTGATTTGACGAATCATAGAACAATTAACCAAATATGTAAACTGAGATAAGTGCCTGTGTTGTAAGTAAAACTGCCATAATTTCATGGTGTCTACATTAAAACCTAACACAGACATGTGTAACAGAGTCTAGCTGTATTTCTGCTACTGTTAAAAAAGTAGCATTTTGTCACCTTCAAAATAATGGCCTATGTAATTTTGGATTTGTTCCCCTAAATCTTTTTTTTTTTTTTTTCTTTTTCAAAATCAGTCTTTGCAAAAAATAACTTGGACCATAATTGTAGAAAGGTGGCGGTTTTGATTTTTACAGTTATGTGTACAATTTTATTCATACATTATTACTTAATAAAATGGTTTTGATACATTGAATTAAAACCAAAAGACACAAATAATAAGACCTTGTCTATTATTTACAGTTCTGTGTAAATAATAGACAATAATAAGGCCTTGTCTATTATTTGTGAATCTGGATTTGAATTTAATTAATCAAAAATATAGTATAGAATTGACTCAGTAGTTTATAAATACAACACAGGACATTTTATATTAGAGTTATGCAAATTTAACTGATAGTATATGCTAAAAACAGATTTCAGATGTTTAACTAGTAGGCTCGTCTGCTGAGGTGACCATTACATAATTTACGTCATTTGTTCCATGTGATTTTATGTATAACATTAGCATAAAAAAAGGGAGGGTGGATTTGCTTAATTTCCAGTTGCTTAAACAACTTTCTGTGCCTTTAAAATTATTTCCAGGCAAATTTCCTTGCCTTTTCTGGCAGCATGTAGCAACAGGTAGGGAGGGGCAACACTTCACTACTCTTTACTCTGGTCATTAAATGCATTTCAAACCATAAGAGGGGCATGGCAAAAACCTGTAGCGGCTTTAAAATGCTAATCCTCAATAAACCTTGATGCCAAGAGTTACACCTTAATACCAAGGTCCAAAATGGGCGGGAGTGTTTCTATCTCTTATCTTTAGACTTTTCTTTTTCAGAGGCTGATTAAACAATCTGAAACATTGTTTATGATCGATGTATAGAGTGGTTTTATTGGAAACACTTTTGAAACTTGTTGCTGTGATCAAATTCCCCCCCTTAGTCTCAGCTCACATAGATTTGTTGCCCACAAAGTGTTTTAATTAAATGTCTGTTTAACTAAATTAATTTAATGCAGATGTGTGTAATTATTAGATATATTTTGAGATGTGTTCATATTTATTCAAAATTATCCATTCAAGCATCTTGATTACTTCTGCCATTTATTTTGTTTTTAGTTTTAGTAATGTATCCCCTAAATACATCTTCTAATTAAATAAGCATTCTTTTAGTTCATATTATTCTAGTTATTATAGAAGATTCCAGTTCTTCTCCTAATAGCTTTTGATATTCTTCTAGTTCAAAAAGTGTCATTTCCTTTTGTACGATTATAAACTGGACCGCAGTAAATCGATAATATTGTTCATGTTTTCTCTACAGTTCCATTTGAAATTGAGATGATAAACTATGCAGATCACAAAAAGTACATTTTTCTTGATCTTTGAATAAAAATTTTCGAAAGGCATTTTGACAACAACTTGAGCTTTTGTGTTGCTGAATTATTTTACTCCTCTCTTTTATCTGCAGATGAGAAGCTGGTGGATGAACTGCGAGAGCTGCAGGTGAAGCTTGACGACTTTGAAAAAGTGAAGTTGATTGGGAGAGGAGCCTATGGTGAAGTACAGCTGGTGAGGCATTTCTCTTCTAGTGTCCTATAAAAGAAGAAAATATTTACTTTAATCTTTTTATCTTATTGTTGAACTCTGCGTTTGAAGTAGAGAATTTTTCCTGCTTTTAATGATTTTAACATTTTGCTTCTGGGCCACTAGAGGGAGCAACCATCAAGACAAATTTAAAAACACCCTGTTTTAAACACAGAACTGTAAAATATTTTTCACATCATTTCCTACATCATGAATCATGCATTTTGAAATCCTCGCTCTCATCTTGGCCTCGTCTTTTAACTGCCTTCCTTCTGATGGTAGAATCAGGTATCTGATAAGATGTTTGTCTATTGGAACGAGTCCGGACAGGCTTTGTGTGGGGTATGAATATGAAGTCTGGTGAGGCAGTGTGAAGGGGTACTCGTCTGTGTTTGTGCTTAGCACTTGTGTAAGCATGTCTTCTTATGGGTGTGTACAACACTCACTGCTTCCCTTTTCATGTCTGAATCTCTGATGTTATCTCAGCAGGATGGTGACATTCCAACAATTTTCTCCTTATTGTCCTTGTGGAGTCGCTACAGCTTGCATTCCAGCATCACCTCCTCTCTCTGTCTGCCTGGCTTTATTTACAGGTCCGTCACAAGGCCTCGAAGAAGGTTTATGCCATGAAGCAGCTCAGTAAGTTTGAAATGATCAAAAGATCAGATTCGGCCTTCTTCTGGGAGGAGAGGCACATCATGGCATTTTCCAACAGTCCCTGGATTGTTCAGGTGTGGATGTGCATTTCTTTCTGCAACACGTACAGTGCAAAAATATTCCTACCCTCTTTAACCTTTTTCATGTGTTTTCATACACTTTTATGTGATAGACCTATACAAAGTGGTATATTCTTGCAAAATGGAAGGAAAAAATAGAGGGTATCCATCATTATACCTTTACTTTGGTACCTTTGAATTAATAACACTGAAATACCTTTAGAAGTCACCTTAAAGGTAAATTCAGTGTCACATGAGTGTAATTTAATCTCACTATAAATCCGGCCTAAGAGGTTTCTTAGAGAACATTAATGAACAAACAGCATAAAAAAACAGAAGTTTAAGAGAAGTTTAAAACAAGTTTAAGTTGTAACACTGCATTCAATATCTTACACAACGGTGCTGAAAAGTGACATTGCGACTCTTTCTTGACGTACCTGTCAACATAAATTAGTAGGCCTGACAATGAGAGATTAAAACAGCAAAGCAGTGAAAACGCGCTATGCTAGATGAGAGAATCTGTTGACAGTACTATTACTTGCACATTCAAGAGGCTTTTACTTTTTGAATTTCTGATTGTTGAGCCACTGGCGCATTCAGACTAAAACACATCCTGTAGAGTCACTGAAATAAATTACTGTAGTGGTGGATAAAGGTATTGAAAGATAATAATTAACATAGGCATGAAAATAGACTGGGAAATCTGAAAATGTTAGTCTAGAAAAGTATAGAAACTGTAAAGTACCTCTGCTTTCTTGCTACTTTAATAACACTTAGTGGTTATAAGCTATTGGTAAATGGAGATTGTTAATCCCAAAGTAAGTTATAGGACAACTACCAAATTTACCGTGTTCTAATTAAAATATGGTCACAATTTAAATGACTATAAACAATACATCAGTGTTCTGTAGCTTTAGCTGTGTAATGTTGCTGCATCTTTCTGCAAATGGCTCACTCTAGCCTTACTCAGGTTTACAACATTTGTATTCTTGCAGCAACAGAACCACCCACAAGGTTTCACTTTGAGATTTTAGCTATTTGCCGGGCACACCTTTAACACGACAAGAATCCCAAACATAATAGGATCCCACACAGGAAAAGAAAACAAGAAAAAAAAGCATTTTCACTTCTGTACAGACAATGCCTCTTTAGATTGTCTTGCAGATATGTTTTGTGTTGTTAATCCAGATGTTTCAATCAAATCCCACAAATGTAATGGTTTTATTTATTGCTACGCCAATCAAAAGATGTGGAATAAGAATTCACAATAGTTTAGAACTGTTTAGTTACAACAAATGGCAAACTTTATTTGCTATGAAGTTGTAACAAGGAACTTGTGTGTTATGTTGGTAATTTTGAATGAGATTGAAGTACAACATATGTTTAAATTAAAAATGTGAAAACTAAACTAATTAAGATAAAATAACTTAATATTTTATATAAATCAGTTCAACCTGATTGTAATTTTGAATGATATAATCCTGGCATCAAGTTTGCAGTAATGATTTTTGACTTTCGCTATTGGCTGTTAAACAATGCACACCAATTGTGTAGAAATAAACCAGTGTTGTCAAATCTGTATCAAAATCTTTAAACACTTAGAAATGACATCAACATGTGGAATGAACTTCATTCCAGCTTTGCTGCGCTTTCCAAGATGATCAGAACCTCTACATGGTGATGGAGTTTATGCCGGGCGGAGATGTGGTCACGCTCACCATAAACTACGACATCCCCGAGAAGTGGGCTCGCTTCTACACGGCTGAGCTAGTGCTGGCACTGGATGCCATCCACTCTATGGGCTTCATCCACCGCGACATTAAACCGGACAACATGCTGCTGGACGGGCACGGACACCTCAAACTAGCCGATTTTGGCACCTGCATGAGGATGAACTCGGTAGGCTGATTGTTGTGAATTGGAGGGAATGAGATGTTTCAGTATTTCAGAAATTTTAGAAGTAAAAATGCATTTAGTTATTCTTTGTCAGGGAAATATGTTTGTGATATTATTGCTTAGAGCTCTAGTGCACCATCAGGTGTTCAAATAGTGGAAGTGGCGCTCAAAATTGCACTCAAGCTGTTTTGAAAAGCTTCAGGATTTACTTTGCTAAACTAGCAAATCAAAATGCCTCTGTGGTTCTGCCTCTGGTGTGGAGCAGGAAGTATTTCTCAGCTTTTCACCACAGCCTTTTAAAATAGCTGCTCCTACATATTTGTGCCTTTGGGGAAATCCTCTGAACTCGCTACAAACACCTCGACATGCATTATGGTTTCTAGCTACACAAGAAATTTTGTTTCTTGTGTAGATATAAAAAAAAACTTGAATTGCTGGTAACTAAATAAATTGTAACAGTAAGCTTCATTTATTTAACATCTTTCAAGACAGAAAATACAAAGTGCATCAATAAGATTTAAAAAATTATAGAATTGAAAAGTAAAAACTGTATAATCAAAAATAAGAAATGAGTACCAGAAGCAAAATATATAAAAATAAAATGGCTAACTAAAAATAAAATTTAAGATTAAAGTAAATAATAATTATAACAAAGGTATAACTCAAAGAAAAACAGAAAAACCTTGAGAAAAAATATTGGCACCCTGACAGAAAAACATAATCATTCTAGTCAAAGTTTTACTTTCTAGACACTAATTAATTTAAATTAAAAATAAGCAATGCGAAACGGGGGATTCCGCAACCACTACTGTCTCTTATTTTGCAATTACCATTGTAAAAAGTAAAAAGTTGACTTTTTTGGATCAGCAAACTAACACAGCTTACAAAACAGTTTTGCAAGTCATGAAAATATGCCATGATGTGTTCTGTGACATCAACAACACGTATTGGAAGACGGGTTTAGTTGGGAACTTTGACATGGATCATTTTGGTATATATTCCAAAAAAGCATTTTCTTGTTCTATGAATCTTATACTTGTGTTTGTGTGTGTGCTTGTCTGCAGTCTGGTCTGGTGCACTGTGTGACAGCTGTAGGCACACCAGACTACATCTCCCCTGAGGTGCTTCAGTCTCAAGGCGGTGATGGGACCTACGGTCGGGAATGTGACTGGTGGTCTGTTGGAGTTTCTCTGTATGAATTGCTTGTTGGTGAGTTACAGTTTAAATTCACAAGTATAAATTTATTTCTGTAGGTTCATTGGTAAAAATCTAGAAAGTTTTAATGTCTGATATTCATCACAGGCGAAACTCCATTCTATGCTGAGTCTCTCATCGGAACGTATGGGAAGATCATGAACCACCATAACGCTCTGGTCTTTCCAGACGATGTGGAGATGTCTCAAAATGCCAAAGATCTCATAAGTGCCTTTCTCACTGACAGGTGTGCTCATCAAACATTGCCAAATGTTCTTAGACCATTTTTTCATAAATCATAATCCACTTTATGTGCATGAACATGCTGATAAGCTGGAGCCATTTTGGGTTTCTCTGTCTGTTGGAAAGACAGAAAATTCTGTTTTGTAAGTTAACATTATATGAGAATGTGAGAGGTGTATGTTTGTTTGCGTTACCCAATCATATAGACCTACTAAAAGTTTGGTCGTCTGGGCCTTCACTCAAAAAGGACACAAAGAAAAAAAAACAAAAAAACATGTGCCTTGTGAAATTTCTAGTAGCAGTACACTGACAGAAAAAAACTGGACAGTCATACTTAACAAAAATGAGAACTCCAAACAAAATTGTAATAATTTGATTAATTATTGATCTTTGATGTAAAGTTATATTGTTTTGTTCAAAAATGGAAACCAATTTGTGAACAAAACCAAAAATCCTCATCCCAGTATCTCTGGGTGCCTGACAGTTTGAGTGGGTCATAATCGAATGACTAGCTCAACTTCAGGCATATGCTGAAGAAAAAACAGATTTGAAGATGATTATTATGACATTGGGGATTTTTACGTAAAACAATTTAAAAAGATTATAACCTAATAAAAATCTCCTTAGGCAGCTGACAGATTTGTTTTTGACTGCTTTTCGTGTTATCTAAGAAATTCCACCCCAGTCAGCGAGTCATTCAATTTGATGCACTCCTGGCAATAGTGAAATTAGGAATTATTCATTGTTGAAGTATTTTAAAATTAGACAATGCTTTTTTATGAGTCTGTTTGCCTAAAATAGCTGAATTAATTCAAATGTTTGTTTATTACATCAGAATTTATGCTTAAATTCTGATTTATTCATTCATTCAATGAATGGTCATCTACCTATTTATTCATTCAATGAACAAAACAGGACCACTACCCATTTATTCATCCAATGAATAAATAGCCGTTTCCAGTGGAAGTGACCACTTCCTGTTTACATTACTGACCCCTCCCCAGAAAAGGCTTTAAACACAGGCTCTTTCTGCTTCTCTACAGAGCAGCCTTTCATTTTTTCCTTCTCACTGAGTTTATTTACCTTCTCACTCACTGTTCTCTCACCACGCGCAGAATCAGATGTGTGTATGTGAGGCAGTCTCACACACATTCGCTAATCACTGCATGCAGTTAACCCACGTACTCTGTCATTGTCTTTCCATTTTGCTGGATCACTCATTCGGTCTCGTCCCCCCCCCATCCTCTCTCTCTTTGAGTTATCTAATTTTTCCTTTATGGTTTTTTTTTTCAATTCATGATATGCAACATTTTCTACCTGACTGTTGCCAATTTCCATTTCTCTTACCCCTATTTACTCCTTTAGTGTTCTGGGCACAAAGACATAGCTTTTAAACTTAGCTCGCTTGCACATGTTTTTTTTCTTTTCTTTTTTTTTTAATGCACCCATTAGAAAACTCTGCGCTCTCTCCTTCTTGCTTGATCTGGAATGTCCCACACGTGGCAATTCCAAACTGCCACACCCCTCTGCTGCCATGCACCCAGAGGTATTGGGGTGGGGGAGATGCAGAGAGGCATTGAAGGAGGGAAAGTTCTGTGTTACCGATGGTTCCTCTTGCTAACTTTCTGCCGTTCTGAAACTATACTATCTTGGTTCTGGCTGAACACAGGAGGTTCTTTGCAGCAGCGGTCATGCGGCTCTCCATTCTGGCCAGTTTGATCAGAGCAGTCATTCCACTGGGCTCTGTGTTTTTGGGATGACATGTTAGTGATGGTGGGTGGAGGGGCGGGGTGAGGTGGGGAGTGTTTTGCACTCTCACTAAAGCAACTCGCCTGTCAATGTGTCTCTGCCTCCTCTTTGTTGCTGTGTGCAGGAAGGTTCGACTGGGCCGCACCGGAGTGGATGAGATCAAACGTCACCCCTTCTTCAAGGACGACCAGTGGACCTTTGACAACATCCGTGACAGTAAGTGGGCACATGGTGCATGTCTCTGAGCCTGTGCAGGTGTAGGCTTCCTCTGTTATTCCCATGTCTGGTAATGTGTGGCTTAGTCTTGTTGCCATTTCTGTCTTATCACCTCCAGCTCATTCCATTCCCTTTTCCAGATTTGCTCCGCTTTAGCCTGTGATTTCAGTTTATTTCCAGCCCCTGCACCAGTAAGCCTTCACTTATGCTACACATGCTCTCCATATGGTCTCATATCTGGCATCAAATAATGGGATGCTTTGTAGAGCAGGACATCATGTTATTGCTCAAATCCTTCTGGAAATCAGCTCACATAAAAATGCATTAAAAATAACTGAATCAGATTTCAGTTATTTTTAACTGAAATCCAGTGTGGGTTTGCTTTGGAACTTAGATTCATCCATATTTTTATTGTCGTTAACCAAACACAATGTGCATTGAGATTGGCCCACTTAACAAAAAACATAAAGTAGTTTTTGGAAGCTTCCAACAAGGGATAAAAATGCAACAATTTCTATTTTTTCAAAAATGTAAGATATCATAACATGGAAGTAGAAACAAATGTGTTGTCTTCAAATTATTTAAATACTTAATGTATTTAAAATTTAAAAGACAACATGCTGGAATGATAGAAATTACAGCCACTGTTGGTGAAATTAAATGACTTGATTATGGCAGTTTTACTAACATTGTCCACTATTTGAATTGTTTTTAATTCTAAAATCATGCACACTTGCGGATTAGTTGAAGATCAAATGACTAATTAACCTTTTATTAGCTAGTTAATTAGTCTTCTTTCTTCTGAGGTTGGCATCCTGCAGCCTGCTGCTTAACAGACATTCCTAGGCCTTCTGAATTGCGGTTGTAAAGCAGCGTCACCATAATAAGACGGAGCTGATCAGCAGCGTGCAGCAACAGTTGTGGTGAAAGAAACTTTGTTTTGTTTCTCCTTCTCCTCTGGAGCATCACCCAAAGTATTATTATTCTCTAGAACTCTGATTTTAATCGTTTGTTTTGCTTTTATGATTCATAAAATATTTGTTGTGGAAAGCAATGTCATATTGTTTTGACGTTTAGTTAATTAGTAAGTTATTTTTCCATATTCTTGCCACATTATGTTGTTTTTTTTTCCATAGCATTTTATGTAATTGCTATGTTCAAAACATTTAATTTCAAGTCAGATTGTTTAACATAGATATCTTCAATATTTTAACTCATAACTCATAAAATGTTTTAATATTACTTGATTCTGATCAGATTCTTGTATCTGGACAGTTTTGTGTACATATGACGGATAAAAATCTTGTAATACAGGTCAGTAAGATTAAGTGTGATATTTGGATAACATTAGTCTACTGTGTGCACTTCTCTTTGTAACAAAACAAAAAAAATAGTCTTCACAAGAAGCTCTTTGTACATTGTTGAAATGGTAGGATATATGAGGGAAAAAAGAGGAAGAAAATTAGAATTTCTACATTAGGATTATGAAGAGCACCTTTGTGTCTGTAAGTGATTACATTCAGAGCCTTTTCCTTTCTCCTCTCCATTTCTCCGCTGCACCTGGCTCTGATTATAAGGGCAGACTAAAGTTCTGATCAGAGCCTTGCAGTCTGGAACATAAAACCACCGCTGTGCCACTGCTACGCTGCACATGCATGTCCTCCTTCTCTCACTCCCTCTACAACACACACACAGGCTCAACACACACTGGAAACATGAGCCAGATCTATTTCTTGTTCCCTGCAGAGCTCTATCTGTGCACTCTTTAGATCTTTAAGAATGAAATAACTCCCTGCTAAGTAAGGCCCTTGCTCTGTGCTGCGACTCTTATCTTCTTCTATTTGCTTGCTTACGGCGATGATTGCAGTGAAATGACGAACGAGTGGATGCAGGGGCTGAGAAAGGCGCATCCTCCGTAGCAGCGGGCGGGACGATCATGTGGCCTCATCTAATGAGAGGGGCGCCCCGTTTCGAAGGGTTTCGACTCTCTTTTTCACTCTCACTGTGGCCGCGGCTGCCTGTCATTACACTCTCCCTATCAGAGAGCATTCTGGGAAGTCTTGCCACAAGGCCATCCATGTCTCTTTCTGTCTCACCACATGTTTGACTTCTTTCTTCTTCTTTTTTTTTTAAGTTTCCAGTTTTATATCACCCCCTACGTTGATTTTCATTCTTGCATATTCATCAAGCTGATGGGCAAGTCTCGACCTAACAGTAATGAGCTGCTTACATAGAGCCAGAATTACACTCATCTGAGGCTGCTTGCTTTTTATTTAATTGGAATCTTTTTATAGTCTAAAAGACCATTTTTATCTGATTGGCCCCTGCACGGATTTGTGTCTGCATGCCGTCCCGTGTTCAAAAGTGTGCTTGCTCTTTTGAAAGGAGAGCAGACGGTGCTGTATTTTTTTTTTTTTTCTGCTGCTGTGGTCAGGATTCATTTGTGAAAGGTAGCTGTGTGTGTGGGGCACAAAGCAAGCACTGTGTGGGGAAAAGGAGTGGTGTAAAGCTCACGCCAACCTGTAGAAAACGTACTCCTACTGCAGGCCGTGCCAAAGTTGGCACAGGGTTGGCTGAGAGGGGTGAAAAAAAATAAAAAATTCAGTGGTAAAATGTTTTCAAGGAAGAGTTTTTAATGCTCTTCGCCTTCTGGAGCTTCTTCACATTTTTCCCCATTGCAACCTCTATATTTACTGCATTTATGGCAGGGACCAAAAGTTGTGATGTTAAAGTGGAGGGAGGATGCTATAATTTTTTTCCCCACAGTTTTCTGCCAAGTGAAATCTTAAAAACAAGGCTACTTTATCTTGAAGCACTTATCTAAAACCTAATGCAATAAGTGGCCTTTAAAAGTCACCTTATTCATTTTAATTTAATCTCTTAAGATGAATGTAGCACAGCTGTTTTGTGAAGACCTCAGAGAAACGGCATCATCAAGTTATTTTAACATTTGCAAGGAACACAGCAGTCATGTGAAATGAGATGATCAGATGCAGAATGCTTTTATAGTGGAACATTAACATCGTCAGCCTGAACAGACTGTGCCCTGTGTCAAAGAGTTCAGAGTTGACAAGAAGGTGAGTGAGACAAAAGAAAGAAGGCAGCGGAGGAAATGTGTTATAGCAGAATAAGGTGGATCCACAGAATTCTGCCATAATAAATACAAATGGAAATGAACAGAATTATTTCTGTTCCGAAAGAATATTGAAAAGCTTTTGTTCCGCCTCCCATTTGCACACTTTAATATAATATTATTATAATTTGCTGTTAATTCTTGTAACATGATAAAATGTGAAATGGTTCAGAGGATCAGTAAATAACTCTGAGGCATGAACAGAGGATCAGTAAAACTCTGGGCATCCGCAGGATTTTGTACTTTAACCCTCCTGGTTTGCACCGCCTCCTCCTTCTTGACCCGTTTGACTCAACGACTCGCCCTCTGCTCCTGTGTTCCAGCTGTGGCTCCAGTGGTTCCAGAGCTGAACAGCGACATAGACACCAGTAACTTTGATGAAATAGAGGTGGAAAAGGGAACTGCTGAGACTTTTCCTTCTCCCAGAGCCTTTGCGGGCAACCAGCTACCATTTATCGGCTTCACTTATTTCAAGGAGGATCAGTAAGTCTTTTAATCTTGTGTTCTTTTCATTTGACTGGTATTTATCTGGCTATATTATATTTTTATTTTTGATTTATTTGTATTTCTGTAATGAGTTAATATGAAGAAAAGTCAGTTCATTGCACTGACGAAGGACTGTTTACAGGAATGCTTAAAGGGAAACAACAGCTTCACACTGAAGCCAGACACTGTATCCCTGTTTTAGAGCCATACTGCCGCCTTGTTCTGACAGTCTCTTAAAACGCTCTCTCTGTGTCTAGTTTATCATAGTTTCCTGCCTTACTTTAGCCTAGTAGAAAAATTGAGAGGAAAAAAATAACATTTATTTGTTAAAGTGATGTTGCTGAAGTCCCTTAATCCACAAACTTGCTACTTAAATACAATCGACAAAGTAACTGTTCCTATGTAGCCAAATTTTATTGGGAATATTTGTCAAAATGATTAACAACAAAATGATAAACTAACCAAGTGCAGCAACTCTGCACCTAACTCGTCACAATTCATTTTTTTTATTGCTTTTTAATTCTTTTAAATTGATTTCATAATAAAAACTGGGTGCAGAAGTTTAAATTGATAATGGAGTGGGCGCACATTATTAATATCACATTAGGAAAAAATATTGAAAATCTTAAATGCTTTTCTCTTTTTTTCATATTATTTTTTTACTTGCTACAATTAAATGTATGTTTTTAATGTGAGCAATTTTTTATAAATTTTAGCTGAATACTTTTGCAGGGCTCTGCAGATGCTTTTATGAGTTTGGCCGCATCAAAACATTGTCAGAAAGTAGGGCTTCCTAGAATAAAATTAATGGTTTTACAAACTGACACTATGTTATGACTGATCTTTGAACCTCACATCCTCCCTGAAGTTTGGACTTGTGTGTTTCTACCAATTAAAGCAGTTGCAAACATTCATGGGTTTCCTCTCTCTATTTGTAGGCTCCTGAGTGGAACAGGCAGCAGCCCTGAGGAGGATTCAGACAACTGCAAGGAAAACTGCAAGGACACAGAAAATTCTCTGGATAGCAAGAAAGATGTGAGTGACTTTGTGTGCAAAGTTTTTTGTCCTGTAAGAGAGGATAGATGGAAGACATTTTTCTTTGTTTTTCCTCTGAGCAGCTGCATAGAAAAGTTAAGCAGCTGGAGGAGCAGCTTGATCATGAGATGCAGGCCAAAGATGAACTGGAGCAGAAGTGCAAGTATGAATGAGACACACACACACACACACAATTGAACATCATTATGATGGATTATATCACAGTATGTACAATTTGAAACTATAAATCAACTTTTTGATACACTTATCTATAAATTGTGATTTTAAGAATAAGCAGAATTCATTTCAAATTTATGTTTTGTTAATATATTAGCAGAATCACTTAGGAAAGAGGTAGTAATTAACATCCTCATAGTGATAGTTGCAGTATAGGCTAAATCAGGAGTGGGTGTGTTGGACCAGGATTCTTCCTGGTCCAACACACCTGAATCCAATAGCTGTAGCACCTCCTAAGTGCAGTCAAGTTCTCCAGAGTTGTGCTAATGACCTCATTATTTGACTCAGGTGTGTTGAAGTAGAAACACATCTAAAAGTCGCAGGAGACCGACCCTCAAGGAGCAGGAGTGCCCACCCCTGGTTTAAATGAAACAAGAAGAAGAAGAGTGTTGGAGTCAAATTTGGCTTAATTTTTGTTCTTTTATTTATTTATTGTATTTCACCAGTTTGCTGTTTTTGAAAAGTGAAGAAAATGTTTCAATGAACAGGTCAAATGTGTTTTGTTTTTAACAAGTGGTTATATGTCAAAGAAATTGTTTTTTAAAAATGTGTAATCAAGTTTGTTTTTGTCTTCAGAAATGCCACCAATCGTTTAGACAAGCTGGTCAATGAACTGGATAAGGAGGTAAAAATGGACTCAGAAGTGGCTACAGGTACTCTAACCCAGTCTTGATATAACACGGTAGATCTAAGTTTGCGTTTCCATTCCTGTTTTATCAGATGAACAGTCGGCAGAAAATGGAAGCCTCCATGAGGCAGCTGGAGCGAGAGCGAGCCCTGCTGCAGCACCAGAGTGCGGAGAACCTCCGCAAGGTAGAAATGGAAGCAGACAGAAAGCGCATCCTGGAAAACGAATGTGAGCATCCAGCAACCTTTATCTGACACTGGGTTTATATTTTTCAAAATCTGAATAACATTCTTCTCGACCGTTTTTACAGTAAACAACTTAAGGGACCAAATGGAGGACCTGAAGAAGAGGAACCAGCACTCACAAATATCTAATGAGAAGAACTTCGAGCTGCAAAAGCAGGTAAGGAAACTCTGTATTGTTACTCACCACAGCATGATTTACTTTTCTCGCAGAAAAATTTGAACTTGCCATCAAAGATTTTTATCTGTTTGTATCATGAATAACTAACAAAATATTCCCCAGGCATATGATTGAATGCAAGTTGATATTTAACCTTACTAAAAACATCTAGCATTGTCTCTGACCTTCATTGTTGCCGTTTGTATAGATATGCATGTATTTGCTTTTTGTTTAACTTGGCCACTCACGGTTGTAAATTGGACATGACAGAGTTTTCTTAGTAACTCCTTAAAATGTGGAAAACAGGAGAACAGTCCATTTTAGTGATAAAAATGATAGTTGGAGATCTTATGATCTGTACAGCAACCATTACATCTGCATGACATGTGGCTCCAGAGGATAAATCTAATGTTTAGCGTAACAGAAGATCTGTGAGTGGGCCTGTTTCTCTTCTAAGAGTCAATGTGAGCATTGTTGGAGTGCATGACATCACTGACTTAATTAAAATGTAATGACCTCTTCTTACTTGAGAGAAGCAAGATTTCCACCTCCAAAAAAATGTATGATTCATACGGATTCACAAGACTCAAAGACATGCAAACAAAAAAAATCTTATTTTTGTTTTATATTTTTACCTTTGTATTATTTTGGCTTCTTCTATTTTTCCTATCATTTTGCTGCTGCTTTTATTTCATCACATATTGAAGGATATTTGTGTTCTTTTTTGTTCTGAAGCAACAGATGTTTTCCCCTTATGTTTCTAAATCTGCTGCTATCATGAAAAAGTTTAGCCTTTTCGGCTAAATGAAAATGAACTTCATCTGTTTCTCACCTGTAGCTCCATGAAGCCAACGATGCCCTGCAGGCCGAGCATGAGGCGGTGGCTCGGCTGAAGAAGAGCCAGGCGGAGGCACAGAAACAAGCCCAGAGCCTCGAAGTCAGCCTCAGGGAGCTGGAGAAAAAGTGCAGCGGATTGGAAGCGAGCAAGGCGGAGCAGGAGAAGCAGATGAGGGGGCTGCAAGTCGAGCTGGAGGAGGAGAGGAGAGAACACAACATCAGGACGGAGACCCTCGCTGACCTGCAGGGTGAGACACGGAAACAGCTGAACAGACAGTTCAACTCATCATTCATCACACTAATCGTGATTTGGACAATTAAAAGTAATCAGATTTTTGAGTGTTCCTGAAGTGTGCTCTCTTCAGTTTTGGAAAAAGAAAGACATTACATAACTTGGAGTGTGCAGTTGAACTGAGAATTAGATGTGAATCGTTTTTTGGATTCAGCCCTGGGAAATATTGGATCATAGGTGGAAACATCTGCTGAAAGAGGTGGAGAGTGAAGCAAGATGCCAGAACATTGCAGGGTTTTTTTTGTTTGTTTTGTTTTCTTGAGAGGTGGCTTTACATTTCAGAGACACCGCCTTCTGAGGTCAGAGGGGAATTTGTTAGGTCAAAGTTTTACCTGTTTACTGTGATGCCTCATGCCATTTTCTTCCATTGGTCAATGTCTCCTTTAAGGTCCATTCATGGAAAAGAAAAGGAAAACAAACTCAAAGTGCCGTATTTTGTGTGTTTTTTTCCAAACATGAGGTGTCACATAGGGAATGTCCAAAAATAAGAGGACCAAGTGTTAAATTATTACATGTTTGTGTCAAAATAGATGCATCCATCTAATTGTGTTGTTGTTTTTACACTCAATTTCAGGAACAATTTTGGTCCTAGAAGACGAAGTGAAGGAGGTGAAATCTTCTCTTTCCAAGGTCAAGAGTGAAAAAAAGGAACTACAGACAAAGCTAAACAATCTCGAAAAGGTATTTCCTTCTCTCCCGATTACTTTTATTGTACTTAAATGTAAAATATTCCTCCATTAAAGACTTTAATGTGTAAAAGACATTATGCTAAAAAACATAACGTATATGCTTTGATTGCAGGAAAAGAACAACCGAGAGATTGACCTAACGTTCCAGCTCAAGTCGCTCCAGCAGAGTCTGGAGCAGGAGGAGGCGGAGCATAAGGCTACCAAAGCTAAACTCACAGATAAAAGCAAAATCTACAAATCTATCGAGGAGGCCAAAGCTGAGGCCTTAAAAGGTGAGCAGAAAGATCAAAAGGCATCCCTGGTAAGAATTTAAGGCCTTAAAATTAATAGATCTTTTATTACTGGAGCAAAATGTCACCCTATGAAATTGTGATTACAAAAAATCTCAACGTAAACATTTTTCATTCAAGTAGGGAAAAATATCACCTTGAGAAAGTATTGATTATAATTGTTTTCTTTCTTTCTGTCACTATTTCTACTGAGCAGTTTTGCCAGTTTTTTATTTAGCTGTCCTTCACCTACCAGCGCACACACATTTCCAAAAGCTAATGTATTGAAAAAGTAATGAATGCATTCAATTAGAAATTGTGATTTTTTTTTTTTTGTTGTTGTTGTTGTTGTTTTCAGGTGTGGAATGAATGCAATTTAGGGCTTTAAGACATTTAACTTTTGTCTGCAGGTGTAAACTTGGTTTTATGCAGATAAATTCTATAGTTTAGCAACGCCATGTCTACTAAAAAGTGACATAGGATTCAGTTTGGTCTTCTAGTCCTTTGCTAATAAAGAACCCTTAGTACTACATGCAAATGTATAGCAAAGGCACAAATGTTTTACTGATCCTATCAACAATTTATTATTTTTTTTTGGTTTTGTTTCATTTGTTCCAGGGATGGAGAGCACCCTGCAGGAGGAGCGCAACTTGAAGCTGCAGGTGGAAGAACAACTGCTGCAACTAAAGAAAGAGCACTCCATGCTAGACTGTGATCACAAGCAAGCAGAGCAAAAGCTGGAGGAGTTGCAGGCACAAAAGAAGAAACTTTCTGAAGAGGTAACTTTTTTTCTAAGATGTAGAAATGCATGAGCCGTTCAAAATTTGACTGTGACAATAGGAGTTAAATGTAGAAAAAAATGCCTGTTTCTTTATGCAAAGAGTGCAAATTCATATGCTGTAATTAAAATGATGAATATCATGAAAAATCTTATTGAAAACATTTTATGGTACATTGAAGTTTGTCTGTAAATACTAAAATTATTTAAAAACTATATATTTTTAATGAAACTATTTTAGCCTGTGATGAATTAAAATTGTACTAAGGAATTTATTGTAAATATATTTCTATAAATAATTTTGCATCAATTTTTAAAATGTATTGAGGGCACATTTTCCATCACTTGACTTTCTTGTTGCTGTAGCAGCTGGGATTAAATAAACATGTATAAAATCGTGTGTCCAGGTGATGGACCTCAACCACCGCCTGGAGCAGGAGACCCGCAAGCGAAGTTTGAGCCAGTCCGATCTGAAAGCGCAGAAACAGCAGGTGTCGGCGCTCGCCTCCTCAGAGAAACAGCTCAAACAGGAACTCAACCAACTGCTGGACATGAAGCAGAGCCTGGAGAAGCAGAACCAGGAGCTACGCAGGTCAGGCTCAAAAGCATTTCAGAATGAGCCCAATTTGCAACCGCGCTCACGGCAGCAGCTTTGATGTCTGTCATGGTTTTTTTGACTGCTTTGGCTCTCGTGTTCAGCTTTGCCTCCGCCTGTGATTGACAGATTTTTGGTACCATTTCAGGGAAAAGCAAGAGGCTGATGGCCAGCTGAAGGAACTGAAGGACCAGCTGGAGGCAGAGCAGTATTTCACAGTAACTCTCCTTTTCTAGTCTGTCAAACAGTAGCAACAGCTGAATATTTTACAGTCAGCAACAGCATGAATGTTCAGCACAGTGGAGAAAATATCATAAATCTGCATCATTAAGCGCTAATGTGCAATGTAAAAACTGCAACTTCTGTGCTTTTTTTTTTTTTTCCCCCTTAGACCCTTTACAAGACACAGTTTCGTGAGCTGAAGAATGAATGTGATGAGAAGAATAAGATGTATAAAGAGGTGCAGCAGCAGCTGGCAGAATACCAGGAGGAAAGGTAACTGTACCTGCCAAGATTCAACTCCTTTCAACATTCACATAATAATCCAGCTGTTCCAACAGAAAAAAATGTAATTCAGTAAGAAACAGTGAGATGTCTGGAGAAAGGATGGGAAAAAAATGAAAAACAAAGCAAACACAACTACAATTCGCTGTGAAAGTGTTTATCAAGCTGAGACACAAACTTCTGAACAAACCAAAGCAATATGTGTGAATTTGAAGTAAAATTATATAATCCATCTTCCATTTTCATGATTGATTGTTTTTCTCTCTTTCTACCAAAACCTTGATGACAAAAGGCTTCAACTAGCCCCTTTTTTGAAGGACAGTTTTGTTTAGAGAATCTTCAGAATTCATTTTGTTTTGAATATTTAAAATGTCTTCCAGTACCAGTTAAATATTAGAAATGAAAGATTAAAGCTGCAAGCAGCCTCGAACGGCCCTCGCAGCCAAGCGCCGCTCCGGCCTATTGCCACCGCGGGGTACGAGCAACCGCCGCCTCACGCCAGCCACCACAGAAGCTCTCACGCAGTTTTCAGCGCCTCCGCCCGCACCGCGGAAGGTGTTGCTCAGTTTCCATCAACGCTGCGCACGTGCTAAGACAGAAGTTGTTGCGCAGTTTCCGCGCCCGTCCACTTGGCGGTACGCATCTATGCGTTCGGCGGCTCTCCTTCACGATGCAAAAAAATGTGGTATAGATTCATTGGTTTAGCGAGGAAATATAGCTGGCGGATTAATTGAGGGGCGCAGTGGAGTCAAAATACATTTCAATGCTGTTTTGCTCTTTAGAGGTCAACAAAGGTCATACGTATCCAATTTGGCGCCAGTCTGATGATCCACGTTTCATTTAGAGACGATCATATGCACGTGGCGAAGAACTGCAGTTCGTCATTTGTACACCCCAATGCGGTTCGGTCAGCAGCCAGCATTCATAGAGTTCATCATGTTATCGTTTTTAGTCAGTATTCACATGATGAAACCCATATAAATTCTAGAATAACAGTAAAATATACAGCAGAAAAAACATGTGACTGCCTCTTAAAGTGGGCGGGGCTACAGTGAGGTCATCAAGTGACCATGGAAATGTTTTCAGGGCTGTTCTCTAGAAAGACAGAGGAAGTGTGATGATGTGCAGCTGTGATCTTGCATTTGGAAGTCATTTAATGTTGATGTTTCATGGTAAATAGTGAAAGTTTACACTAAGCCACACCACATGCTTGATGTTAACTACAACTGAGATCTAAATGCAGTGCAACTTTAACGTTAGTGAAATGAGTCAGGAAAATGGTGAAGGTTAAGATGTATCAGTTTAATAAACCGCACTGTTCAGTAATAAACCAAGGGCAATGCACATTAACAGAGCACAGATAACTTTCAGCACATTAGAACAATAGCACAGGCTCAATCCCACCCATTAATTAGGTATTAATCACAGGAAGTGCTGCAACTAAATATTACAACCCCATTGGATCGGTAAAAAGATACTTAGCATTTTCTCAGAGCTCTTTTAAACGACATTTTTAAACATCTTCTATACATAATAACAAGTCTGAATGTATGAAACTGGATGTATCAAACACACTATTCAGTTTATTGAATTAGTCAAGCGCTTCGTTAGCATTAAAAACGTTGCAGGCCTCAGGCATTGGGTTAGCATCCTCCTCAGAATAACTGTTCCAAACATGACGGCTTCCAGAACCAGCAGGAAGGAATAAATTACTCACCGCACCGCGAGTTACGACTGTTTAAACGAACAGCAATGGGTTCATTGCACCTGCCGCGCTGACGTCACAACTGTATACCCGAATGCGGCTCTTTTTTCTGCTTTAGTAACTATTACTGCTATAAAAGACAAAGTCGTACTTAAGACACAAATAAAACAATACTATGTACTTTGTTTAAGTTTTTATGGATTTCCAAGCGATCCTCAATTAAGACAGCTTGTAAATATTCGTTGCTACAAGTTAAAGCTACCACTTGAAGCTAACGCCGTACACACCGCTCTAAGCACCGTCTTAATGAGCCATTCACAACAAGCATGCAAAAGTAATAAAACGAAATAACACAGAAATCTTAAGCAACACGGCCATATTTTTCTAAAAGTAATAACTCTGAATCTGAACAGTCAGCTGAACTAGAACTCCGATACCAGAGTAAGCTCTGTGCTCGTTTTTCTTCGTCATAATTCAAGCAAAAAGTCTGAACTGTAATCTGTCCCCCCCACCCCCATCTCCCCGCTGCGTTTATTGTCGTTAGCAATAAACACACGTAATATGCTTGAAAATAAGGCACAAACAATGTCCGTTAGAATGGCTGAGAAATCTTTAGATAATTAAATAGCAGATTTTTACAAGAAAAATGTCAGAGAATCCCTGCTAGCACAAGCTAGCAGGCTTGTGCTAGCAGTTTAGAGAAAATAAAACTCACCTTCATATCTGTGAATGTATAACGAGGCGAACATCTTAAAACTTTTCTCTGGCTTACTTGTTTGGGCTTCGGATCGATGTACATTATTAATTGTTACCTTGGAAAAACATTTGAGCCGTATTTCCGGAACGCGGAAGCTCAGGTGCAAAGAGCGCATTAAAACTGCTCCAACTCCGGTCCAACAGAGCCTTCTTGCTCAAAAGCGTGGTTCGGATTTCCAACTCCAAAACACAAGCAAAATGTTGAGCGTAGTCCAGTTCTGTGGCTCCTAAAAGCAGGCAAAATGTTCAGGAAAACTTCGCAGCTCCAGCTGTCGCCGACCGACTGCTATGACGTAGCAGCTCCACGACAGTTACACTTAACTGACCAGTAAGGCACAGACGGCTGGAATTGATGCATTTACTTGTGGTATTAAATAACAGTCATTAACAAAACGCTACATTTACTCCGTGTTTTAAGCCAACAAATATTATCTGAGGGCTTACATATAACATTTCAGGTTAAATGTAACCTCTATCCTTTTGGAAATCTCACGGCAAACGCGCACGAAACGTTTTGACGGCCGTTCGCCGTAGATCTGTTTTCTCATTGATGGAGTACCACTGCCTCCTGCTGTCGCAATACTGGTATTGCACTAGCAGTACCAGTATTTCTCCACAAGGTGCCAGTAGTACTCCATCAACACTGACCCAGTGTTCTTACTTCGCTGTGTCATGTTTTGCTGAATGACTTTGTTTGTATTATTTCTAAAAAATGAATGAATGTTTGTACTTTAACCCACAAAATAAACTTATATATATATAAAAAGTTATAATAATGTATATTTAAATAATTAATAACAACATAACCTATGGGCTGCTGTTTTCTAGGGGGCGCTATAGAGAAATTAGGCCACGCCCTACAAATATTGTGATGGATTCCAGTCGGGGAGTGGATAAATATTCATCCTTGTGAGTTTGCAGCAGCTGAGCCCGAAAATGTGGTATTGAGAGCCAAACGTATGGCGATGGCGTTACAGGTAACTTCGCCACGCCGCCATGCCCACCTGCTCTATCGTAGCTGGTCGGGGTTGGAATCCTCAATACACCAACATGTCTTCGGTGTCTGGGCACAGTTTCATGTTGATGAGGTCAAAGGGGTCGGATAGCGAACGTTCACAGTAAAACATTACACTTCCTGTTCTCAGGGGGCGTGGCCTAAGTGATGTCATCATTCGACCATAGGGTAATGTAGGAGACCCGATGATGATCAATCACAGAAACTTTGGTGCCTCTGTGAGTTTCTGTGTAGGAGATATAGCAGTTTATGTTTTTATGGCGAGTAGGTGAACTTTGACCCCTGCTAACCCCCCTTCAGCATACTCAAAAACTCACCGTTAGATAACTTTAGATGAGACATGCCTTATGAACAGACTGACCGAGTTTGAAGCCGATCAATCGAAATCCCTAGGAGGAGATAGATCAATACGAAGGCTGTAAACGGCAAAAATGGGGTCAAAAACCGAACTTGAATCCAAAATGGCTGACTTCCTGTGGGGTTTAGACCATGGCTCCAAGAGACTTTTTTGTACGTCCTGACAAGGTACACGTGTGTACAAAGTTTCGTATTGTAGGTTAAAGCATGGCTTGGGGCTGATCATTTAAAGTTTTCTAGGGGGCGCTATATAGAGAAATTAGGCTACGCCCACCAAATATTGTGATGGATTCCTGTTGGGGAGTGGATGAGGGTCCATCCTTATGAGTTTGCAGCAGCTGGGCCCGAAAATGTGGAATTGAGAGCCAAACGTATGGCGATGGCGTTACAGGTGACTTCACCACGCCACCACGCCCACCTGCTCCATCGAAGCTGGTCGGGGTTGGAATCCTCAATACACCAACATGTTCTCTGTGTCTGGGCACAGTTTCATGTTGATGAGGTCAAAGGGGTCAGATAGCGACAGTTCACAGTAAAACATTACACTTCCTGTTCTCAGGGGGCGTGGCCTAAGTGATGTCATCATTCGACCATAGGGTATTGTAGGACACCCGATGATGATCAATCACAGTAACTTTGGTGCCTCTGTGAGTTTCTGTGTAGGAGATATAGCAGTTTATTTTTTTACAGCGAGTAGGTGAACTTTGACCCCTGCTAACGCCCCTTCAGCATACTCAAAAACTCACCGTTTAGATAACTTTAGATGAGACATGCCTTATGAACAGACTGACCGAGTTTGAAGTCGATCAATCAAAATCCCTAGGAGGAGATAGATCAAATACAAAGGCTGTAAACGGCAAAAATCGGCAAAAATGGGGTCAAAATGGGAACTTCAATCAAAAATGGCTGACTTCCTGTGATACTTGCACTATGACATTAATTGTAAATTTTGAGCGTCTTGGGGAGTTCTACAAGTGTACCAAATTTCATGTATCTACAATAAAGTAAGTGAATAGCAGAGGGTAAAAAAGGGTGTTTTTCCAATTTCTAGGTGGCGCAGTAGAGACATTTCTGTTGCAATTTTTGCTACGACTTTAAAATACGTAAATTTTAAACAGGCTTAAGGCCTCTGCCAAGTTTGGTGAGTTTTGAATATGA